AACGTGGAATTGGGGAGTGTTGAATAGTCAGTTGGGCAGCAACAAAGGGAAGCTCTGGGGGTTCCATTAATTGATAAGGCGTCGAAGTGTGTGAACGAGGGGACGGAATATGAGCTGCGTGAACCAGGTGTGAGAGGCAGGATGGAAAGAGTGAAGACATAGAATATAATGAAGGAGATATATACTGGCGATTATACAATGAAGATGTGTATGACCCATGATGACGTCCTCATGACATTATAATCGACAGGACATGACAGTTATCTTGTTCATCCACCTGTTTATTGTGTGATTAAAGGGAATCATATTAATATCTCTTTTTCATGATATAAAACTGTGATAGGCAGGAGCGCCCTGTTCTGAAACCATGTTGTCATGGGTTATGGCGAAGCTGTGATTCCATATATTTTGTGATCTTACTTCTTAGCACTCTCTCAAAGATTTTTATGTGTGAGGTTAGTGCTATCGATCAGTCATTTTTTGCATCTGCCTTATTTCCTCCTTTATGGAATGGTGCTATCTCTGCTGCTTTTAGTATGTCAGGGATAACGCCAGTATCTAGGCTCTGTCTCCAAAGAATATGAAAAGTCTGAAAAAGTTTTATTTTTACAGTTCTTGATGAATATAGAGTTCCAAGAATCAGGTCCTGGTGCAGAGTGCATAGGCATACTGTCTATGGCTTTTTCAAAATCCACAGAGGGATAGGGTGACATTTGATATACGATTTGATGTTGGTATCACATTCATGAAAAATTCATTTCGATAATCAGCATTCTGCATTATCTTCTATGAGAATGATGCTTCGTAATTGCTTAGAGAGAAGCGCCTTTATCTTCTAAGATAATGGTGCTTCTCTCTACGAAGCATCATTCTCGAACAAGAGTTGTTTGAGAATTCATGGGTCGAGAAACTCCAATACGACTCACCGTGTTGGAGGTAAGACTGTCAAATCGCCTTAAGTCATTACAGACACCCCGGAAGTTCCGGGCCTCGAATGAAGATAAATTATAGTTGAATATGTGATTTTAAGCCCTCATCCACACACGTTTTTAAGGTCATGGCTGTAAACTCCGAGAACGCTAGTTTCCGAGTTCTGGAGTAGTTGATCGAGGCGTTCAGAGGATCCGAGGCAGTCTGACTCAACGGTCGGTATATATAAGCAGACGAGAGAGTACACGGGTTGACAAAGTTCGAAATAAGATCATTTTCCCTCTTTACTCTGACAGGATGAGAACTTTCTTTTTACATAGCTCATGATAAGTCTTTTTCCTGGCTAGATTTTCCGTGCAACAAACCCACCAATCGGCTTTCAACACGATTTCTCTCTCTCTCTCTCTCTCTCTCTCTCTCTCTCTCTCTCTCTCTCTCTCTCTCTCTCTCTCTCTCTCTCTCTCTCTCTCTCTCTCTCTCTCTCTCTCCCTCCCTCCCCTTGCGCACACTGAACTCCACATGAACGCAGCAAGACTACTGATCCAGCCTCCTGAGCACCACTTAAAGGTTCAAATCTCTCGTAGGGAATGGAATTGTATGTAGTAATTGCTTGCTGAACGACTCAATTACCTTACTGATAACTTCGTTCTTGGCTCTGTATACCAGCAGGTGAAATACATAGAAGGTTGTAAAGGGGAAGGAGTGCTTGCAGGGATGATAGTCAGAGTGTAATGGAGGGAAGGAGGGAGGGAGGGAGGGAGGGAAGGTAGAGAAGGGGGGAAGGTTAAGTGTGTGAGGGTAAGTTAGGAGGATAAGGAGGGGATGTATCAAGTCTACTGCAACACCATCCAGGTGAAAAATAAGTTATAAAATCGGAAAAGTTTAACGCTAAGCTAATCTGTATACAAACCTTCACCTTTTTTCCTAAATTGAGCCCAAAAGGCTCTCACCTACGTTACTTATCTATACACAAAAGCCTTTTACCCACTGAATGAATTTGTGTATAAAAGGTCCGCACCCATGTAGCTTATCTCACCATAGGTCTTCACCCACTGAGCAAATATGTACGTAAAAGGTACTCATCCACTGAGCGGCTATGTAACAAAATCGCCCACATAGTGAACTAATCTCACACCTTCTTCAAATGGTAGTCAATGAACAGCATCCTTTATTTTCTGCTTCTGAGTAAGCATTCATTAACAGGTGTGATAAATAATTCCCAGTTTAAACGTACCGTTAAACATATGAATTCCCCACGTAAGCAAATTTTAAATGCGTTCACTATCTGCTTATATCTGCTGTCATAACCCGGGACGTAATGACGTCTGTCTGTCATCATTACTCCTATCAGCAGGTCTCAGAGCCCAAACGGGTTACCAAGTGTTAGTAATTAAACATTCTTAGTAAGAGCAGCTTAGTCGTTGTTTAGCTGAGTTGGCTCGTTTACTGGCTCGAGCAATGTGGCTACACTTTGGTATGTTGATCTGTAATTCAACATTGATGGAGGAATTTAATTATATAGCCCAGGGCATTTAATATCAGAAATTTGAATAGAAATGAAACAGTTGACTTATGAATAAACATTAAGGATACTTCACCAGCAATGTGCAATGGAATAATCCCAAGAAATTATTCATTTCATTGCATTAGATTTAATTTTGTGCCAGGTCTACACCTCGCGTGATGCTGTTAATTTTAGATGCACGCAAAGCGAAGGTTGGTAATGTAACAGCTGTGAAACGCAATGGATCTCCCAAGCACAATATTATCATTGTAAATATTCAAGAAAAAATACTTCATTTAACTGCAAATGCAAAGCAAATTCAATCCTCCTTACAGTCATTAATATCGCGTGACTTGAAGCTTGAGAATCAAACGAGTTATACACATAACAGTTCACTTTTAGCGTAAGAGTAATGGTAAAATGGAAATAGCTAAATGAGCAGGTTGTAGAAACGAAGTTCTGTATGTCGAAAGTAGATATGATATAAGAATTAGGGATAGGCGTCAGGGATTTATAGGCATCCAGCGGCTAGAAAGGCGGAGGCAAAGAGCTATAACTCGATCCTGCAGCTACTAGTTAGGTGTGTACAAATATATGGACGCGCGCGCGCGCACACACACACACACACACACACACACACACACACATACACACACACACACACACACACACACACACACACACACACACACGCTCACACACACAAACACATAGAGCCCAATAGGCTCGGGAACCTGTACATCAGTTAACAGTTGAGAGGCGGGACCAAAGAGCCAGACCTCAACCCCCGCAAGCACGACTAGGCGAGTAAACACACACACACAACAAACAAGCGCGACACACATGCACACAAAAATATAAAACACACGTCAACACATCCACGAAAAAAAGTACATAACTCTTTCATTTTAGACCGATTGGGGACAACATTTCAAGCATCCCGACTAGTCAAGAAACATTACCACCTTTTTGTTTTAACAAATTCACACAACAGCAACAATATTCTATAAACAAACTCATCACAACAGTGATACGGTCATAGTACCTTTAGTAACCGGAATCCTGACGAGAGTTGAAGCATGCTTGTATACTTCAATTATTCTGTGAAATCTCAGGGTGGAAAAATAAGCCTTTGTTTCAGGCCGTGATAACGCAGTCTGACTTGACATGTCCAAACGTGCCCTGTGGAACCTCTTTCTAAATGTATTTTACTTGTTTCCTAAAATTTTTAGGAAATATATATTATATTTAGGAAATAATATATATATATATATATATATATATATATATATATATATATATATATATATATATCTACTTAACAAATATTTATGTATTTGCCATTTTCTTACACAGCAGACGACTGCCTTGGACACTTCACTACTTGTGAGTCAAACGCCTTCACGACATTACAAAGAGAATTAGCTTCAGTAACAGTAAAATATTAATATATATGATTCATATATCAATTGGTTTAGATTTAGGCTTAAGTCCTATCAATGAATGAATTTTAACCAGTATATATATATATATATATATATATATATATATATATATATATATATATATATATATATATATATATTTTGCTTAAAGGTTATGGATCTCTTGAAAAACACAACAATGGGAATATATATATATATATATATATATATATATATATATATATATATATATATATATATATATATATATATATATATATATATAATTAAACCAACAATTAGCCCGTCTACTCAATTTCACCTTTTGTTTTAATTTGGATGCGGAATCATAGGGTTTAAAAATCAATCAAACTGTCTATGGTTTAGGAACAGGGAAATAGCTCCCCTCATAATTTTTACGAAAGACTGGCGTCTTACGAATTTCAGGACGGTACCTCCATGTTGTCTTTCAGGCGACGAAATAAGCATGAGAGGCGTTAATGTGATCATATTGGCCTTCTTCATTGTCGAGAAGTCATTTGTTTATGGATCAATCACGTGAAAGTGACTCCTTGAGTCACCACACGGTCACGATGGTGTCATTTTCATATGGCTCCATCACGAAAAAAGTGACTTCATCAACAGGCAAAGTATCATCCTTGAAGGAGTCTCATTAAAATGATGTATTCTTGGAACATCACAAAAAAAAATATGAAATAAAACAGAAATTCGGAAATGTAACTTTAATATTTCCATGGCAGGTTCTTCAGTGCAATGTTGAATACTGATGTGTTTTCGTGAAGGGGAACTTGGGGCAAATATTTAGCGATTATTACGGCAGAGGAAGAAATTACAGCGTTGCTTTTATGTGAAGACAATGCAAGAATATGTAGCATATTAATACGCACAATCGCGCGCGCGTGTACCCACACACACATACGCACGCACTTATATACTTGATGTAAAAACGAAAACTACATACTGCATGTTACTTAATCGGTACATCTTGAGACCTGCATTATTAAACCTAATAAGCAAGCATACTTTTTATGCCATTTGGCAAAATGTTTAGCAAGAGTTTTTTGTAAAAGTCATGCATATTTAAGCATATGTTTCCGGAGCAAGAGTAGAAAATGCCTCAAAATAGTTTTACCTTTATTTTTTTAATAAGGATCGCCGTATATAAATATATAGGTTTCTACAACATAATAAAAACTTTATTTATTATAGTTAAACGAGAAATAAATCATTTGAACTTGTTGTTGGATAGACTTGTCACTTAAAAAAAAGTTAACCATTTTCCAGAACCCATCTTGAACAACTACAACAACTTTGAACAGGTGAAGTTTGATCCGTGGTTCCAAAACTTTCCCCCCCAAGACCTGCAATTTTTTGTTGTCTCGGAAAATATTCACCGGACACAGCCACCAATAAGTTTTTCATCCGTCTTTTTGTTTTGGCCGACTCGTGCTCACATCCACCTTTTTCAGAGATGCGGATATAAAATTGTGTTGAGTTACTTTTTTCTAAGAGTTTATGTCAACGTGTTGGTGGCTACTGAATGTGTTTAATGAGACAAATATATAAGATATTTCGTTGGATGATTATTTTGGATCCACTAATAATTATATAAGGTTAATTCAGGAACTACTACCTATAATTAAGTGTATGAAAGTACGGTAGTAAATGATGGAACACTTATAAGTACATTGCTCATCAAGGAAGCATGCCTACATACTATAAACTACTGCTTATCTTAAAATATTGTTCAATCTTACGATTTATTTGTAATCCCCCAAACTTCAACAATTATAGTACTAATAGCAACTCTTTAGTCAGATGTATACAATTGACTGCTGGACCCCAAAAACTTTTGGTTTTGTGCAATTCAGTTACTCCAAATAGCATACTAAAGAGATGGAAGAATAAAGCCTAACCTAACCTGCCTAAAGCCAAAATAAGCCATCCAAGTCTTAAATTCACTACAGTGAGTCTAATTTAATACATATATGCACTATACTAGTCCTAGGAAATTAGTTTTTTGTCGAGCACTCTAAAACTGATAGTACATAACTTTGAATTTGATTGGGTCAGCCCTTTTTGTACGCTTCACCAAATAGTTATTATAAATAATATCATTTGGAGAATGGGTCGTGTTGTTGTATACGCTGGGCACACTGTTCGAAATAATTACTGCCGGTGAATACCTCTCAGCACCCCCTCGAGACCATAGCCACGATGGTACCTTGATCAGAAGAAAATAAACGCTTGAATAAAGACTCCCTGACTTAAAGAGATCTGGAAGCCCTCCGCTTCAAAGACCTTCTGCGAGAACTTGTTGCCGTAGAGGGCCGTGGCCGAGTCGGTGACCTGGAGGGTGAAGACATAGGGCACGGCTTCGCGGAGATGGACCGGATTCTTGAAGGAAATGTTAGCTCCGCGGCCCTCGGCACTCGCTAAGACCGCAGACTTGGCGTCCTCCTTCCGTATCTCCAGCTGGAATTATTTTCTGTTGTTAGATGCGCTACGAAAGAAACTTTTAGAAGATGCGTGATTAAGCGATAGAGATTAAGAACAGTTGAGGATTTCAATTGTTTACTCTCTGTGAACTTACAAATTTAAGTCATTTTACCAGCAAATAAAATTATATAATGAAGCATGGTTCATCTGGGATTTTGAAGATAAAGATGCCACTATATCCAATAGACTAATCTTGAGAATTTATATTTAGCCCATCTTTATCGCTCAAGTTAATTAGCAGCATAATACAACGAGAACAATAGCAGTTGCAAATGTTTTCTCTAATTAGCCAACAAAAATATCGTGTTTGTGATATATTGAGCATCAAGTTTTATGAAAACTTAATGTGTGTTGCATGTTGCAACGGGAAAAATTGTAAGTAATTCATCACTTAAAGCACACTTAAAGACCTGAGTCTCAGTAACATGTACACCGAAGGGAATTTAAGTAAAGACCCGAATGCGACTGAATTCCTCACTTACCATCACTTCAACTGGTTTTAAGTGATTGTAAGTAAGGAACTGACATACAACTACATTAGATACCTACTTACTTGGGCAATGGTGCATACCTACATAACGTATAATGCTTACCTACACCTAGGTATTTACTTGCATCTACGCCCTCTTGATACATTTAGATCCATACCTGTACTATATTCACCCCTTACACCATATATACATTTCCCTACCATATATACAAACTATATAAACCCAACGCAATATGCAGCTCCACACCAAGCATGCCCCCAAAATATGAATACACCCTACATCATATGCACAATCTCCTACATCATATACACACACATCCCCACACCATACACCCATCCCATACTACATACCCCCACACCCCACTCCATCCCCTACATCATACGCCCTCTCCACCCACCCCAACACACACCCAGAACCGCCCAGACCTGCACGTCCTCCGCTCCACCATCCAGCTGCACCTTCACAGCCAATAGGACGATGTTATCGGAGGAGACGAGGTGGAACTGGTAGCTGGGCTCTCTTAGCCACGTCCGGCTCACACCCTCACACAAACACGTCCTCATCCGGTCCTGGTGGGAGGGAGACAACACCTTAATGAAGGGTGAAGTGAGATTAAGAGTACGAGAGAGAGAGAGAGAGAGAGAGAGAGAGAGAGAGAGAGAGAGAGAGAGAGAGAGAGAGAGAGAGAGAGAGAGAGAGAGAGAGAGAGAGAGAATCATGGATAAATAAAACACGAGTGACATAAAACGTTGACTTGCTGTGAGAGGCTGGCTTGATATCCCATCACCCTTACCTTGGTGATGGGAGAGGCTCTGCTCTCCCTGCTGGTGTTGATATGAAGCGATTTGCCCAGAGGGGTGGACGAAACCGGTTCGGCGTGTGGTTTGGCAATGTGTTTCAGCATGTAGACGCTCTCGTCAGGCATCAAGACGTCTGTGGTGAGGACGTGCTGTACGAACTCGTCTGAGGTCATGGTGTAGAATCGTATTAGAGGTAGGAACTGGATGATTTCCTTGCGGAGATCCGACGGAGTGGAAGGCTTTCCCTGGAGCTTTAGTTGTGCTTGGCCCCTGAAAAACGAAGGAATGTTCTTGCAAATGTTCGAACGTCATCCGTTTTGGAGTCGTGTGTAAAGCGTTTTTCATTCATAAACGAAGGGTTTGACGACTGAATTAACGAGCATTTGGCCATTGTTTATGAGGACAGGTCGCAGAATATTGGGAAATGCCCGTTAACCATTTGAATGCTAACTGTCATTAGTGACATCTCCCATGTGCTCAAGACAAAAAAATTTTTGAAAAATAATTTTTTTTCGTACTACATTGCTAATTAACCTTCAGGAAGCACACAAATCCAACTAAAACGACTCTAGCTCCTGTAGTTTAGCTGTAATGGCCTGGATTAGGTCGTTAATCTAATAACGGCTCAGTTCGAGAATGAAAGACATTTGTATGTCTAATACATTTATACATCAATGTATAACTCACAACTGATAATGTTCGAGCCCTCCTTGAACAATGCTTCGTTCATTTCCTATATTCAAAACGCATCTCTATAAGCCTAATTATGCACAAAGCTGCAATATATATTAATTTATGGAATGATATTGTAAATTTATATGTAATATAGTTTTTATTACAGTAAATGAAACCTTGATGAATCCACATTTGTGGACAGTCACACTATAGATGATATTGCCTGAGTAAAAGCCAATTCATCAATTAGTACACTACGACTCACACGTGAGTAAGAGCCATTCATCAATTCGTACACTAACCAATCACGCCTGAGTAAAGGATAACTGATCCATTCGTACCCAGCCACTTGGGCTGGACGGTAGAGCGACAGTCTCGCTTCATGGAGGTCGGCGTTCAATTCCCGACCGTCCAAGTGGTTGGGCACCATTCCTTTCCCCCGTCCCATCCCAAATCCTTATCCTGACCCCTTCCCAGTGCTATAAAGTCCTAATGGCTTTGCGCTTTCCCTTGATAATTAATTAAAAATTGATCCATTCGTACACTACGAATCATCTAAGGACCAATTCATCATTTTGTACACTACTAGTCACGTCATCAAACATCCGTAAACATGTTGATAAATCTCTCCACATCAACAATTTCGTGTCGTCTTTCGCTACACGTTTCTGAAAAATGGAAATAGAGTTGCACGAGTCAATTTTCGTAATGAAGGTTTCTAATACCCTTGATTATTTTACTTATTTTTCTCAATATATATTCAAGATAACTTGCTTCCATTCTTCAATACGATATTTGGAAGTGGGCAGCACACTAAAATAACCCCTTACATGAGCCACACATTACGGTAGCTCTGAAAACTTTGCTTAAACAGTAAAATAGGAACAAAGATTTAAATAGATGCAGATAGACAGTCATAAAATGAGCAGGGATGTTCAATAGCAGATACAAAGACATTTAAACAGTGTAAACAGCAAAAATTCACCACTCATCCCTGACTGGGTTCCCACTCATCTCTGACTCATCCCACTCATCCACACCCGAGTGTATTTACCACTTGACAAGAGCATTGAAGATGACGGTCTCTGAAGTAATGGTCAGAGGTTCCTTGAGGAGCTGAGACATAGCCTCCGGCGTGAGGTCCATCAGGGCTGGAGACACCAGCACCGCGTTCCCATTGTCCAGAAACACCTGCCGGAGCACCAGAGAGCAGTTTTGTTGTGCTTTTCTTAAGAGTTTCTACGGAGGAGCTGAAAGATCTTGAGATTAGGGGAGGATTGGGTGAGTTTGTTTACATTCTCACTATGGCATAATCCTGTGTGAGGGTGAAAGTGGGCGTTGTGTGTGTTTTGTAGGAGAACACTTCCATGCAAACTCTTAAAAACACAAGTGGGTGTTTGCGTGGACGTGTGTGTGTGTGTGTGTGTGTGTGTGTATGTCTGTCTGTGACTGTACTCACCTAGTTGTGTTTGCGGGGGTTGAGCTCTGGCTCTTTGGTCCCGCCTCTCAACTGTGTGGGGGAGCTCCGTTTTTTTTTTTTTTTAGCTAGGTCCGCATACTAGCCAAGAGGAGTTTACAGGGTTCAACACTAGCTCCCAAGCCCCGGATGTCCATGGCCTGGTCAGTTAATACAATGACTATCATGCCTCATATTTATCATCGTAATTCCTTTTAAAATAAATATTTTAATTTATTTTAATTATTTGGATTTATCTTGACTTGTAGCTCTTTTCATTTACTTGCAGCACTATAGCTTAAGAAGCTTTCCTGAGCGTTTCTCCAGCTCACCTGGGCCTGAAGCTTTCACCCATGTCCCGTAGGTCTCTTTTCCTTTTCTCATTTTGATCGGATTCAGTCATTTTGATCGCTCTTAAATCGAATTTGTCGACTCGATTTAATTATTTTGTACCATGTCGTATCTTCTTTTATTCTATTTTCCTCCAAGGTGATGCGTTTGAGCGAGCCTTTCACTGTGAGAGCGGGGCTGGGACTGTTTTTGAGTCTTTACTTGCCTTTCATTTTCATTCACCTTATCAATGTTCACCGGGGCCTTCCACTCGTTAACTATAAGTGTCTTGTATCTCCTTTATCTTTAGCATTTTGATGTGACTACTGAATCAGCTTTCTAGTAATTCACTTAGTTTTTACCTGTAGCATATCCAGGGAGGGAGGCAATGCTTGTCGAAGAGTCCTCACTATCGGAGACTATACTTTTAATAAGTTCATTATTTTTTTAAGTGTGTGGGTTGGGTAGGGAGCGGAAGTGCAATGGGATCTTCCTCTCACAGAACTGTTAACTGCTCAGCCAGTCGTCCCTTGGCACCGGTCTTACACTCAGAAATGTATAGCAGTTATATGTGACTGTATCCAGTCTTTTACACCAAGTTTTCTTGAGGCTGCCACTTACTAGAACCCGCAACTGCTTCTGGGATTTATCAAGTAGGTTTCTTGCTGAAACGTTGCAGCTGCTGTTGCATTGTGGCTCGTGTGTGTGTGTGTACTCACCTAGTTGTACTCACCTAGTTGTGTTTGCGGGGGTTGAGCTCTGGCTCTTTGGTCCCGCCTCTCAACCGTCAATCAACAGGTGTACAGATTCCTGAGCCTATCGGGCTCTGTCATATCTACACTTGAAACTGTGTATGGAGTCAGCCTCCACCACATCACCCCCTAATGCATTCCATTTGTCAACCACTCTGACACTAAAAAAGTTCTTTCTAATATCTCTGTGGCTCATTTGGGCACTCAGCTTCCACCTGTGTCCCCTTGTGCGTGTTCCCCTTGTGTTAAATAGACTGTCTTTATCTACCCTATCAATTCCCTTCAGAATCTTGAATGTGGTGATCATGTCCCCCCTAACTCTTCTGTCTTCCAGCGAAGTGAGGTTTAATTCCCGTAGTCTCTCCTCGTAGCTCATACCTCTCAGCTCGGGTACTAGTCTGGTGGCAAACCTTTGAACCTTTTCCAGTTTAGCCTTATCCTTGACTAGATATGGACTCCATGCTGTGGCTGCATACTCCAGGATTGGCCTGACATATGTGGTATACAAAGTTCTGAATGATTCTTTACACAAATTTCTGAATGCCGTTCGTATGTTGGCCAGCCTGGCATATGCCGCTGATGTTATCCGCTTGATATGTGCTGCAGGAGACAGGTCTGGCGTGATATCAACCCCCAAGTCTTTTTCCTTCTCTGACTCCTGAAGAATTTCCTCTCCCAGATGATACCTTGTATCTGGCCTCCTGCTCCCTACACCTATCTTCATTACATTACATTTGGTTGGGTTAAACTCTAACAACCATTTGTTCGACCATTCCTTCAGCTTGTCTAGGTCTTCTTGAAACCTCAAACAGTCCTCTTCTGTTTTAATCCTTCTCATAATTTTAGCATCGTCCGCAAACATTGAGAGAAATGAATCGACACCCTCCGGGAGATCATTTACATATATCAGAAACAAGATAGGACCGAGTACAGAGCCCTGTGGGACTCCACTGGTGACTTCACGCCAATCGGAGGTCTCACCCCTCACCGTAACTCTCTGCTTCCTATTGCTTAGATACTCCCTTATCCACTGGAACACCTTACCAGCTACACCTGCCTGTCTCTCCAGCTTATGTACCAGCCTCTTATGCGGTACTGTGTCAAAGGCTTTCCGACAATCCAAGAAAATGCAGTCCGCCCAGCCCTCTCTTTCTTGCTTAATCTGTGTCACCTGATCGTAGAATTCTATCAAGCCTGTAAGGCAAGATTTACCCTCCCTGAATCCATGTTGGCGATTTGTCACGAAGTCCCTTCTCTCCAGATGTGTTACCAGGTTTTTTCTCACGATCTTCTCCATCACCTTGCATGGTATACAAGTCAAGGACACTGGCCTGTAGTTCAGTGCCTCTTGTCTGTCGCCCTTTTTGTATATTGGGACCACATTCGCCGTCTTCCATATTTCTGGTAGGTCTCCCGTCTCTAGTGACTTACTATACACTATGGAGAGTGGCAAGCAAAGTGCCTCTGCACACTCTTTCAGTACCCATGGTGAGATCCCATCTGGACCAACAGCCTTTCTAACATCCAGATCCAGCAGGTGTCTCTTGACCTCCTCTCTCGTAATTTCGAACTGTGTGTGTGTGTGTGTGTGCGTGTGTGTGTGCGTGTGTGTGTGTGTGTGTGTGTGTGTCAATGTGCATGTTTGTGTGTATGTGTGTAAATGTGCGTGTGAGTGAGTTGTTGGGTATAATCACGTTTAATATATGATGATGGGAAGAGAAAGCGAGACGTAGAGTGAGAAAGATGTAGTGGATAAAATACTAACAGCGAATAAAATATTAATCTTGGTATTCTATAATTAGCTGGTGAGGAAGTGAAGCCCTGTTCTTACCTGCGCTCTCCACTATCATTACGCATGTACGCATCGTCGTGTGGATTTGTTTAATACGCTTGTTTTGCTATTCTCAAATGGGGCAATTTTGATTACATAATTATTTTTATTATTATTATTATTATTATTTTACACGTTAATTGGGCTGAACGGTTGAGAGCACCTTGAGTGGGTTGGGAGGAAGATCACGTCAACCAGTTTCAGGATGACACGAACGACCTGTGCACGAAAGGAAAACAAAGAGAGAAGGGCAGACTCACGAAGTCGATACACAACCGACGCAGGAAAGAGGATTTTGCAGTGCTTTGCACAGGATTACGGTGATCACAAGGTCTGTAAGCTCCTGTATTTGATCCACCCAGTTGTTAGTGACTGTCGTGTCTGTTCCTAAAGGTGTTGTTTGGCGGGGGCTTTCACCTTCTTTCCCCTCCCCAGTTTCTTTCACATGTTCACTTTCCTCAATATTTATGAGCACTTTCTTTCAATTCTCTGATGCATTTCAATAAATTATTTTGTTTATGTCTGTTGTGTGCATTTATAGTTGGGTTAGTTTACATAAATTTACAGTGAATTATTTACCTAAGAGATAAGTCACAATATCATGAAATATCTGACGATGAGAATACAATTTAAGTGGGAATGGCCAGTGAAAATAACTTTTTTAACTTCGCAAGTTTAAAAATATGTAAGATAAAGAGAACATTAGTGCAAGAATAATTGATCTTACCCTCTCTGTCGCATTCAATAATATGTTTTATAACACAGAAAACAAATACTGTAACTATCTTTCCCTGTAACACACTCCCTACCGTCCTGCGTTTCTCGGTATATATATACATCTCCAAAATTTTATCCCCAGAACCATTAAAGCGTCTATCATATTACCTCCTTAATCCCCCTTCAGCCATTAGTCACATAAAAACTCATATATGAAGCTCCTCCTTTAGACTTGAAACATATTGCTCCGCCACTAACCTTAGTGCCAGCCTCGGTATTCATTGCATTTTTAATCGCCCCCTCTCTTTATTTTTCTGTGGACTCTCCCCTTCAATTGAAACCTTCTTGCCCATTCCCAGCTGACGCCCTCCCTACCTAAATGGTCCTTACCCCTTTGCAAAGACTCCGTAGAGAGTCATTATCAGCAAACAGATGAACCAGGAACTTGTATATTTTGAGGACGTTGTTGCGTTTTACGACTGTTTGCAGGTACTGGAAAGAATCAGAAATAATGGAGATTACTTTAACGAAATGCACAGTTCAATATATGTTGTTATATATATATATATATATATATATATATATATATATATATATATATATATATATATATATATATATATATATATATATATATATATATATATAATTTTTTAGTGCCTAATTGCCGCATCCATGTTCAGATGCTGAATTTAAGTTAAGAACTGCAGATATAAATATATGGAAGATATCATATCCATTCATCCATATACAGAATATCACCCATTTTGTAAATGAAATTCTACATATGATACTACTATGATTTTGTTATTTTTTTAATTTACACTTTTGTTAATGCACACTTCACGAGCAGACTTCAGAGTCTTCAGTAATGGTTTCGTGTTTCCTGGTGTAATTAAGGGAGCTCGCGCGAGGCCTGAAACAGCGATTGTGCCTTACTAAGAGTTTGTACAGCGTAATATGTGGGGGTTCTTACTCAGGCTAATTGAGCTACGTACTTGAACTTACCTTGAGCGTGCTCTTAACTCAGCCATGATGGAGTTGTGGGCGTTTACTCACCCTGATGGAGGTGTCGTACGCGCTTGCGACCATGTACTTGTCCGCTAAGCTGTGGAAAGAAGTTATGTGATTAAAAGTTGCTTTTCATTGTAATTACTGTGGCAAAGGTGAATGACACTGTATAGTGTTATGATCAATGAAAGATGACCACATACTAACATAAACAACAACTGCAACAGCAAACACACACACACACACACACACACACACACACACACACACACATACCCAAATGAGCCACAGGGCTCCCACACACACAAATGAGCCATATGAGCCACCCACACACATAAGTACCCAAATGAGCCACAGGGACGTTAGAAAGAACTTTTTCAGCGTCAGAGTAGTTAACAGGTGGAATGCATTAGGCAGAGATGTGGTGGAGGCGGATTCCATACACAGCTTTATATGTAGATATGATTGAGCCCAGTAGGCTCTGGAATCTATACACCAGTTGATTGACAGTTGAGAGGCGGGACCAAAGACCCAAAGCTCAACCCCCGCAAGCACAAATAGGTGAGTACAAGTAGGTAAGTACACACACACACACACATACACACACACACACAATAGCAATCATTAACAACACACACATAACGAACTCCAATGGTTCTTACAGGATTCAATATTCTATATTTTAGTTCTGTCTCTCTCTTTATAAAAAGTTATAATTGCACTCTAACTTCAAAGGAAGTGGAATTAGCATAAAACACGTCCACACCCGCTGCACCGACAAACTCCTCACAAACTTTTCAAGCGTTTAATTAAAGGACGTGAGTTAAATGTCTCATTTCTTAGCCATGTGTCCTGATCGTCCACACGTCTTAGAGATTCCTTAGGAGGAAGATCCAAGATATCTTTTGTTTAGCTTTATTTGGCTCTTGTGTTATTAGTCATAAAGGCATTTTAGCCAAACTGGAGTGGGAATGATCCCATAATTGGTCGTTTAGGTCACTTTCAAACTGCATATATATATATATATATATATATATATATATATATATATATATATATATATATATATATATATATATATATATATACCAAGCCCACCAACATAGGATTATGCCTGAACGGTAGAAGTGAGTGCCCCCAAAGATACAAAGCCAGTGTTCTCAATGCTTGTATTCGTCGAGCGCTTACCCACTGCTCTGAATGGAGCAACGTGAGTAGAGAGTTTGAAAGAGTAACTCAGGTATTGGTGAACAACGGATATAGCAACGCGGTAATAAACGCTGCTATAAGAAGACACTTGGACCGTTGGTATAATTCAGAACCTAGAACAGAAACCACAACACCCCCAATAAAATTATATTACAAATCAACCATGCACAGTGAACATATAAAAGAGGAAAGAATAATGAAAGAAATAATCCGTAAAGGAGTAAAAAGCACTACTCCTAACCAAAACATAAACCTGATAATATTCTACAAAACCAAGAAGACTTCCGAACTCCTTATCAAAAACAGCCCGAAGCCGACGGAGAACCCTCTACAGCAGTCAAGCGTTGTATACATGTACACTTGCCCCCACGAAGGATGTAACCTTCAATGTAAGTACATAGGTATGACGTCGACCAAGCTGACGAGGCGTTTGACATGCCATCTTCAATCTGGTGCCCCTAAGAATCACATGAGACAAGCCCATGACATTACTCTAACAAGAGAAATGTTGAACAAGAATACTTGCATAATAGACAAAACCCAAGATTCAAGAAGATTACAAATTCTTGAGGCAATTCACATAAGAATAGAGCGACCTACCATGAACACCCAAATCACGGAACTATTTACTCTACCCACCATGAGAGTAAGGACAAGACAAGAACATATCGATGCCAACACAGAAGACAATGTCCAACATAACAGGCCAATTACACTGGATTAATCTTTGTGTTTAGATAGGAGATGCCTCGTATGGGCCAATAAGCCTTCTGCAGCCCCTATGTTTATCCCTTATGTATCCCCCCATGTTTTTCACCCTCATTGTATTATCACCTGACCTAATGCGGGTATAAAATCAACTAGTATTGTAAGATTGTTCACTTGAGAATGAACCATGGAGGTTCGAAACGTCGTGCAAATTATACAAATAAGTGTAATACACTCTATAGTAAATCACTTCTTTTCTTCACCTTAAAAGTACGAAAATGAGTTTTGGAGAACTCCTATTCCAATTAAGCCCTGATGCTAAGAAAATAGTTAGAGGGATAGAAGCCCTAAACCAGAAAATAATAAATACAGAATATGCGGTCATATTCAATGAAACATGTTTGAAAGAAAACCTGCTGCCAGTATACACCAATATATATATATATATATATATATATATATATATATATATATATATATATATATATATATATATATATATATATATATATATTTGACCTGAGATTATTAATTGTTTTGAACAAGACGTTTGATAGCAGCCAGTTTTGAATTTCCCGTTAATTTCGTGAGAGGTTGCCTCCTTTTCCTAAAAATTGGTTAAGAAGAAGATTATGATAACTTTAGTCTTTAACCCCTGTACTGCGCAGCTGTTTAAAAGTACTGCAGCATCAAGGTCCGCATGGACTGAATGGGAGGAAGTAAGATGCAGATGGCTATTACTCTTTTTTTTAAATATTCTTTGTAAATATCTATGTAAATTAAGTTTTTTAACACTCTAGAAAGAGGGTAACTGTATGATTAATAAAATATTATGTTATTTTTTCCCTAACTATATTGTTTAATGTTTTTTATTGATTTTTAGGAACATTTTCTTTTAAATTATTTAGTTATCTCTACTGCTTGAAAATTTAATATAGCTTATGTGTGTGATTTTTGTTTAATGTTCGGCTCTTTTAATTTAAGTTTTGAAAATAGTAAAAATTTTCTGCTGGCCATACAATCTATGGACAAAAGATTTTTTTTTTTCCTGCTGTCGACCCCTCCACCTACCCAATGACGTGGAGGGCGAGCTATCAGTCCTTCACCTACCCAAGGATCTGGAGGGCGAGCTCCATGTTGTCAATCTCCCTCTTGTCAGTGTAGATATGGTCGAGGAGCCAGTAGAATGCCCAGGGCGAGTCGTCTCTCAGTGGTAAGACGCCGCTCTTACTAACGGGGTTAAGCACCAATAGATCCTCAAACACCGGACTCCTCATAGCCAAGATTAAGCGGTGTACCTGTGGACATGAGAGGCAGGTGAGGTGAAGTTGGTGAGGTGAGGTTTAGTGAGGTTTGGTGAGGTGAGGTTTGGCCTGGTTAGATTTGGTTAGTTAGGTTTGGTCTATTTAGGTTAGGTTTGGTTAGTTAAGTTAGGATAGGTTACGTAAGGTTAGTTATGGTTGGTTAGATGAGGTGTTGTTTCGTTTGATTTGGTTAGGTTTTGTAAGGTTCGATTAGGTTTGGTTCATTTTATTTAGGATTGGTTATGCTAGGATTAGTTAGGTGGGTGAGCTTAAAAATGAGTAAGCACACCAGCCAGCACTCACGTGTACACACACACACACACACACACACACACACACACACACACACACACACACACACACAAACAGTATGTGTATATATATCTTTACTCATTCATGAACATATCCCCGATTTTTCGAATTTTGATCTTTTGATCTTGAATACATCCTTTTCCGAAAAGCGCAAGTTTAATATTAACATCTCGGGGTTAAGCGCCTTTCACGGCGGAAAAAATATTTGGGTTAATAAGTATATTTTGAACCAAGTATATTAGACGAGGCAAACATTGTGGGAGATTAAGCTTGCTTAATCTCTAATGTTGCCTTATGTTTTTCAGCCCAGGTTAGCTGGTGACTGTGTCATGGTGACTGTGTCGTAGTGACTGTGTCATGGTGACTGTGTCATGGTAACTGTGTCATGGTGACTGTGTCATGGTGACTGTGTCATGGTGACCATGATCATGGGGGAATATTTCGTAGTTTTGAAAAGAGTGAGATATTTGCTGGATATAAATCTTGCTTTGATTCTTCAAGGTACTACTGAATGGTGGTACCCCCTGAAGGTCTCTCCTGTAGATAACCTATAGGTACCCCGGTGGTACCCATGGAGGGATACCCGGGAGGTACGCCAGCTTACCTATCCAAAACTAAGAGGTATGAGCTACGAGAACAGGCTCCAAGGTGGGTTATTAACTGTGGAAAGGGAATCAATTCTCCTTGGAGGAATTTGAATCAAATAATGGGGAAGGGGGTTCTCATCGTTCGCCGCTTATCTAAAATCATGCAAAATACTCCCTAATGGGACGGAGTAAACGGTGTAGACAGCTTGCTAGGCATGTATGGACAGGACAGGTGGGACAGGAACACGGGGTAAACACAGTTGGATCAGACAGGTAGATTTTTTTATTATTTTCTACCACAGACGTGGCCACACATTTACAATGCTAACCAGCATATATACATTTTCTTCTGTCTTCCATGGACAGGGTTACAGATTTGTTAAACATATACGGTAGTAGTAGAATGAAGAAAGCAAGAGCGGAGGGGGAATGAAGAAGTGAAGGAAGACTTCGTTCATGGACTAACGAGAAAGTGGAGAAGGAATCCCCTGGGTTGATGTTAAGAGCCACAGGCTCTTAACCTGGAACTTAATACCTGCAAACATAAGTCATGTACAAGATCTTCAACTAAAAAAATTTAGTATTGTTAAATTATAAACATAAACTATCAGAGACATGATATAAAAAAACGAGAAAAAATTAATAAAACGAAAGAAAATAAATCGAAAAAAATTGCCTGATGAATAGCACCAAAGGTTGGAAAAGGTACAAAATAAATTGATCTGTATGAACAAAGGGCGAGTCAAAAGGACGCACGACCTTTGGTCTGGGAGAAACTACCAAAAGTCCAACTTGGAGTGAGGACGAGCGTCTTGGGTCTCGTGTTTCTGGAGTAATGATGTCTCGTGTGTCGTTCTCTCTCTCTCTCTCTCTCTCTCTCTCTCTCTCTCTCTCTCTCTCTCTCTCTCTCTCTCTCTTTCGCTCTCTTTCACCTTTTGCGGTAGAATAGGGTGTAAATATTGGCAAAGTAATAGTCGTATAGTGTGAACAAATCAGTTGAACACAGAGTTTGTATTAACCAATAACCACTAATTGACAATTATGCCTGATAATGACGAAGCACATTATTAGTGAACAATAAAATTATTAATTATAAAGCAACACCATCTCTCTAAGAATTATATTTGCTATCAGCTCGGAGTTCTTCTTTACTCATTTTCCAACTTATTTAATATCTTCATTTTCGTATAATTTTTGTTCTTTAAAACAAGCATAGTAAATTGTATCACAGGATGCATTGTTTCTGGCAGCAAAAGGCTCGTGGATCAAGAGTTAAAGTCGAGATGAATGTTTAGGAGAAAGTTGACTGTCTGACTCGGCTAGTAGCCAGTTACCACTCTGTTCTTCCTTGTGGTAGACTGACACTTCTACCTTGTGGTAGACTGCCTCTTCTACCTTGTGGTAGACTGACTCTTTTACCTTGCGGTAGACTGCCTCTTCTACCTTGTGGTAGACTGACTTTTCTACCTTGTGGTAGACTGCCTCTTCTACCTTGTGGTAGACTGCCTCTTTTACCTTGCGGTAGACTGTCTCTTCTACCTTGTGGTAGACTGACTCTTCTACCTTGTGGTAGACTGCCTCTTCTACCTTGTGGTAGACTGCCTCTTCTACCTTGCGGTAGACTGTCTCTTCTACCTTGTGGTAGACTGACTCTTCTACCTTGTGGTAGACTGCCTCTTCTACCCGCACCTCTTCGTCAGCTGCTCCTTTTCTCAATCATGCTGCATTTATTATCTACGTCTACGACACTCCTTCTCCCCCTCCCTCTCTCTTCACCATCTCTCCCTCCTGGTTCTTTTTCCTTACCCTCTCCCTTCTTCTCTAATCCCATTTTCACCTTCCTCCCCTTTCGCTTTCCGCGTTCCCACTTATCTTTAGTGCAAAATTCACATTAATTTCTTTTCAAGAGCCTTCAGCTAAATCTCTCATCCATCATTCTCTCGTCTCTCTCTCTCCTTTCTTGCTTCCCTTTCCTTGAGCCAACACCATCAAACTTTTTGTCTTTACCAGTTAATCGCTCAAATGTCCCTCAGTTAAGGACCTGTCGGACAGTCTTCGCTCTGGATATGTGTGTGTGTGTGTGTGTGTGTGTGTGTGTGTGTGTGTGTGTGTGTGTGTGTGTGTGGGTGTTTGTGTGTGTGTGTGTGTGTGTGTGTTTGTGTGTGTGTGTGTGTGTGTGTGTGTGTGTGTTTGTGTGTGTGTGTGTGTGTGTGTGTGTGTGTGTGTGTGTGTGTGTGTGTGTGTGTGTGTGTGTGTGTGTGTGTGTGTGTGTGTGTGTGTGTGTGTGTGTGTGTGTGTGTGTGTGTGTACTCACCTAGTGGAGCTTGCGGAGGTTGCCAATCATTGTTGATGATGTATATTGTTACGTGAGTCTTCCCAGCTTGCGGCTTTCTTTTGATTACTACTTTTTGATGCTGCAAATTCTTGCGGATGCTGCACGTACTCTGTGGAGGAAACACATGCCCTGCGCAAGCAACACATGCCCTGTGCAGACAACACATGCCCTGTGCAGACAACACATGCCCTGCGGAGGCAACACATGCCCTGCGGAGGCAACACATGCCCTGCGGAGGCAACACATGCCCTGCGGAGGCAACACATGCCCTGTGCAGACAACACATGCCCTGTGCAGACAACACATGCCCTGCGGAGGCAACACATGCCTTGCGGAGGCAACACATGCCCTGTGCAGACAACACATGCCCTGCGGAGGCAACACATGCCCTGCGGAGGCAACACATGCCCTGCGCAAGCAACACATGCCCTGCGCAAGCCACACATGCCCTGCGCAGGCAACACATGCCCTGCGCAGGCAACACATGCCCTGCGCAGACAACACATGCCCTGCGCAGGCAACACATGCCCTGTGGAGGGAACACATTAAACAAGCACGATAGGTAGAGAGCTTTAGCATACCATAGAACTAGTGCTGCAAAATTCACGGTGTGGCGATTGATAGATATCACGTTTTGAGCCCGAAATTTATATATATAACAAATGCGTGAACGAGGCTTTTAGACGGGGATGAGAGGAGAGGTTTCAGCCCCCCTCCCCCCCCAAAAAAAAAAATACCCCATTACCTCGAATATATAAAAACAGGAAGGGACCCCCATTACTTAGATTTTTTTTGCCTTTTTACACATCATCTATTATATAGACAGAGCAGTCACACACAATTACGCACATATAAATACACATATGTAACTCATGTACCACATATTTAACCTGTTTGATAGGCTCAGGAATGATTCATTTCAAAAGGTGAATAATTTATGTCAACATTATGATATCTCTCCTAATCTGGTAATCTTTTTACATGTACAAATATACGTTCAAAAAAGCTCGAGGATTTACCACAAACTGACCTTGAACTGTTTACCCTCGCGGCCCACCACCAAAGTAACGTCGGAATGGGTTCCACTGGCCAGCAGGAACTCCAGTGCCTGTCCGGCCGAGCGAAGCGAATCCTGCCATGGGCGTAGGGGCGTCGGGGAGGTTCCGGATTGACCGGACATCCTGTCAGGGGAGGCAGGATATAAGGGAAAACGTGCGATATAATATGGGTATTATGGGGGGATTTACAGATGTTAGATCAATAGTGGGGGTCGGGGCATCATGGCATATGATGGGGTGATGTGTCCGATGGTGTTTTTTTTTTTTCACTATTTCGTAAATAGGGAGTTTTTGACTAGTTGTGGATTGGCAGGAGCGGGTGTTATGTTTGTTCTGTGTGATGGAAGATTGATACCCACTTAGTTGTGCTTGTGGGGGTTGAGCTCTGGCTCTTTGATCCTGCCTCTCAACTGTCAATCACTCGGTGAACAGATTGCTGAGCTTACTGGGCTCTATTGGGCTAGCTCTACTAGTGTGTGTGTGTGTGTGTGTGTGTGTGTGTGTGTGTGTGTGTGTGTGTGTGTGTGCGTGCGTGCGTGCGTGCGTGCGTGTGTATGTGTATGTGTGTTGGAAGAGATGGGAAGGGAGAGAAAAGTGGACTCTAGGAGACAAAAGAAACACTGTCAGCGTGCAACAATGGGGAGGTTGTGACAGGTTTCTGTAACAATGAGAGGTTCAGGTGTGTCTGGTGTTGCTGCCAGAGGGGTTGGCTGATTGAGTGAGCTGTTGCAACACGCTAACTGTATTCTTATTGACCCTTCTCTGAGGGTCAATATTTGGAGGACTGGTTTAAGCGGATGGGCCAAGAAAATGTTTAACTATCTGATCTAGGATTCACGAGCAAGCACTTAAGGGGCCACTTCAGAAACTAATTCATTTTCTAGTTTTAAGACATGGAGGCTTAGGTTGTATTTATTAAACATTTATTTATGAATATTTATGAGTATTTATTTATTAATTTAAAATATTTATGAGTTCCGAACCCAATGAAGACGTCTATAGCCATAATAACCTTGGTTTGTAAATTTTTGAATCTGGTAAACTGTTCAATAAATTCAAACTAAGCCGCTATGATCGAGGAAAGATGTACAGGTTTCGTAAGAGAACACATAAATACTTGATGAATTCTGAACTTGGTCTAATAAATGCTTAGCTGACTATCAAGGGGGAAATGTTTCATGAACTATATCTCTGATAACTTGACTCAAAAGCTAACTGCAAATTTTGAGTGAACTGGCCTGTTGAATCACTGACTGACCAGCTTGTTGAATGCTTGTTTGAGTGGACTGGTAACTGGTTGAGGTTAGGCTAAGTAGTCAGCATTGCCTGTTGATGTGTTCTTTCTTCAGAGACAGACGGACACACGACCAGACTTAACGGTATTGGTTCGAGTGCTGACTGCAGTGTTTGGTTCAAGTTCCGAGGAGAACCTGGAAAAAATAATATATTGTGAACGTGCATACATCATATGTATTGAACATTTTTGCCAATATAATAAAGTTTTAATTGAATTCAGTTATTATGCACTCCATACCCATCCCGTGGACGGTGGTGAACACCATACCCATCACGTGGGCGGTGGTGAACACCATACCCATCACGTGGGCGGTGGTGAACACCATACCCATTCCGTGGGGAGTGGTGAACACCATACCCATCCCGTGGTCGGTGGTGAACACCATACCCATCCCGTGGGCGGTGGTGAACACCATACCCATTCCGTGGGGAGTGGTGAACACCATACCCATCCCGTGGTCGGTGGTGAACACCATACCCATCCCGTGGGCGGTGGTGAACACCATACCCATTCCGTGGGGAGTGGTGAACACCATACCCATCCCGTGGTCGGTGGTGAACACGATACCCATTCATCCTTATAATTGTCTTCGATAACAGCTTACGAAGATCTCCTTTTGTTACTTTTGTTATTGCTCAATTTATAGGCTTGCTTCTGGCTCCCGTCTTCAGTGTTCAGTAACAAGAGGTTGAAGCTGCGCATGCGCTCACTCTTACCTGTAGGCTTCTTGTTACGGTCTTATGAATTGATGTGTTCGGCCAAAACATGTCTAGAACCTGACACACACACACACACACACACACACACACACACACACACACACACACACACGATCGGTAAACTTTAATTCTCCATTTACCAACTTTAAAATCATTTAGCTTTGCATATCACTTTCTGCTCTTAATTAGTGCAAGAGACACCCGAGAGAATGACATAGTTAGCTGCAGGTTTTAATCGTTGTTTACGAAGCTATTCTGCAGTTTCGATCGATAATTAGTGCATGATCTTTCGACAGAGAATTACTTCTTGATAGTTGTCATCAGACTAAAACTTTATTCGTTACAACTTACACAAATTACTCCAGTAATGACTGGACTCACCGTCCCACTCCTTCACCATCCCACTCCCGTCCCACTTCCTCTCCCGTCCCACTCCCTGTCCCACTTCCTCACCTATCTTAAATTAGAGTTTTAAATTAACTCTTAGCGTCTCACTTCTAGAGCAGTACGGCCTACAGTAACTTCCTGCTGCGACGGATAATTATTTATCAGAGTGAAAGCACGAGTCTACGGTAATTAGTATCCAGCTGTGTCTGCAGGTCGATCTGTCTGTCGTACGGGCTGTGTCTGCAGGTCAATCTGTCTGTCGTACGGTCTGGGTCTGCAGGTCGATCTGTCTGTCGTACGGGCTGTGTCTGCAGGTCAATCTGTCTGTCGTACGGGCTGTGTCTGCAGGTCAATCTGTCTGTCGTACGGGCTGTGTCTGCAGGTCAATCTGTCTGTCGTACGGTCTGGGTCTGCAGGTCGATCTGTCTGTCGTACGGGCTGTGTCTGCAGGTCGATCTGAGTGTCTGCCATACGAGGTGTATCTGCAGGTCGATCTGAGTGTCTGCCATACGGGCTGGGTCTGCAGGTCGACCTTCGCGAGTTAACCCGTTGTTCATGTGCAGAAAACAGCTCCTATTAACTGCATGTGTAACTTTTTTAAATTAACTATTTATTTTGTTAATCGCTCGGCTAAGTTAAAATAGAGAAATCGTATCACAGAAATTTGATAGTTGTTGCATCACTATTCCATATGCTAACCAGTAAATAGTAACTTTATTTCATCTCTGTTCAGCAAGTTTAAGGAACAATCAACTGCTGATTACCAGACTCGTTACAGCAATTTGGATGGAAAGTGATTCACTTGTTTTTTAATCACCTCCGAATCTGGTGTGACCCAACGCCGCCTTGTTTAAAACTTTTATTTTCAGTTTAATAGTATGTCATTAGTCTCGTAGCGAGCCGGACTGTCTTTTAAAACGAGCATTAGAGCTGTCTCACTCTCCAGCCCCAATATTACACCCTTTAAGGAAGAAATTGCATCTAAGGGTCCAGGATGGGCCAAAACGTCCTTACATTTCTTCGTTTCAAATGTGAGAATTGGTTATTTTTTTCTTCGGGGGGGGGGGGGGGGTCCAACACTGCTTAAACTGCGTCTTTTATGTTTGAAACGCTTCCAGTCTTTGCAAATAATGGGGTAATTAGTAATATTTGGTTAAGTTTATAATTTCTTACGAATTTAGGTTCCTAATCATATATATTTTTTTTTGAAAATAAACACACCCAGGTAAGCACATCAACGTAAACACCCCCATGGAGCACATCAACATAAACACACCCAGGGAAGCACATCAACGTAAACACACCCAGGGAAGCACATCATCATAAACACCCCCAGGGAAGCACATCAACATAAACACACCCAGGGAAGCACATCAACATAAACACACCCAGGGAAGCACATCAACGTAAACACACCCAGGGAAGCACATCAACGTAAACACACCCAGGGAAGCACATCAACGTAAACACACCCAGGGAAGCACATCAACATAAACACACCCAGGGAAGCACATCAACGTAAACACCCCAGGGAAGCACATCAACATAAACACACCCAGGGAAGCACATCAACGTAAACACCCCCAGGGAAGCACATCAACGTAAACACCCCAGGGAAGCACATCAACATAAACACACCCAGGGAAGCACATCAACGTAAACACCCCCAGGGAAGCACATCAACGTAAACACCCCCATGGAGCACATCAACATAAACACCCCCAGGGAAGCACATCAACGTAAACACCCCCAGGGAAGCACATCAACGTAAACACACCCAGGGAAGCACATCAACGTAAACACACCCAGGGAAGCACATCAACGTAAACACACCCAGGGAAGCACATCAACGTAAACACACCCAGGGAAGCACATCAACGTAAACACACCCAGGGAAGCACATCAACGTAAACACAGCCAGAGAGGCACAGACCGAGGGGCAGGCTTGAAGCCTCGCTGTATAATCCAGGCTGAATAGCTCTTGCTTTTTCTATGATTACATCTGAGCGCTTCAGAGAGCATACTGAAGAGATTTTCTTGTGTGCGTCGAGAAAGAGGTGGAGAAAAAGCACACGCATTCGCTTCACGGTATAATTCAGTATCGTAGCAAAACAAGAGGCTGTTAGAGATTCTCTACTAACATTTAAATAGTGATAATTGATCATAGTGTGAGTCTTTATTTCATAGGAGTAGAGAGTGGATAATTTTTATGTTGTTAAATCTGCGGATTTGCTTGCACTCAAGCAAATGCCAAAATGTATGATATGGCAGTATGACTGATAATCATTTACGTTTATGAAATGAGACAAAACGCATAATCTACACATTTGTTAAGAAACTGAAGCAGCGTTTTTCTGACTGTTCCCTCAATCCGCCGCAAAAAGCTCCTTACAGTATGTGGCTCAGTTGTTGTGCCTATAAACTTCTGAAACTGAATATGTCTCTTAATCCTGATAGAACTCTTCACTATATTTCCCCTTGGAAACACGAATGTGTAGTTTGTCGCTGTTTGAATACCACTATCCACTATATCATTATTCTGCCTTGTGTGAGTCAAACTCACCCACACCCAGCATGAGGGACTGCCAGGGGGAATATTTTATTTACATTAGGGTGCATGAACGTATTAAATATGTTTGATATTAAGCTGTATCTATATTTTAATTAAATATTTTGATCAATCTACAAGCTGCCTATTAGAGATATCACTTCACATCCATCGACAATCGATTTAAATACCACGTAAGCCAACAGGAAGTATAATCTTTGACGTCAGTGACCGCCAGTGATTGGGCAGCTGATCGTCACTTTCCGTGTATGGAATTGGAGGGAGAGGTTCTTGATTAGGTTGCATGTCTACAATTTGGTCGTGAGTGTCCATTCCAGACCTGGGGCCAGATTCACGAAGCAGTTACACATGCTCTTACGAACCTGTCCATCTTTACTCAATCTTTGGCGGCTTTGTTTACAATTATTAAACAGTTAATGAGCTCCGAAGCACCAGGAAGCTGTTTATAACAATACCAACAGTTGATTGGAAAGTTTTTATGCTTATAATCTGTTTAATAAATGTAACCAAAGCCGTCAAGGATTGAGGAAAGATGTACACGTTCGTAAGTACTTGCGTAACTGCTTCGTGAATCTGGCCCCTGACCATTGCTTGTGTTTTTTTGTGTTGCATAAAAATATAATTTACCCACGACTGTAGGAGAAGTTACCATATCTTATTCAAAGTTTCATATCCAGTTTTTAATTAAGGAAAAGTGTACTAAGAGAAACTCTTAGAAAACTAAGAGAAAAAAAACTAGCTACTTTGTGTCAAGGAAAATGTGGAAGTTTATTTTTCAGCTGGACACAGTAAGCTGTTGTGTTAGGTAAGTTATGAGGGAATGAGACTTACCAAGGCATTGTGACGTCACTAAGTGAGGTAATCTTACCCATGGATAAACTACCACTTTGTGTCAGGATAAAGGACTTCCATAAATGATCTTCCATAATTATTGGTTTTTTCTTATACAGTCATTTTTTTCACGTTAGTGCAAAATACACCATAAATGCAAACGTGAAAATATTAAGTAAATATTTCTTCAGACGTTGAAGCTAATAAGGTTCAAGACGACGAAAGTTATAGCAGCTTCCCCATTCCTCAAGATATTAAAATCTCGTTTTCAAAAGTTTTGCTTTAGAGGCAAGACTGGGTAGCGATGAAAAATTATCACGGCCCCATGAACCGTTTCCGCGTATTCCAATACTCTACACCAAGGCTTCCAGCGATCTCTCGAGAACTACAATATTGCAGTGAGAACTTTTATAGGGGCTAAGACTTGGAGAAGAACTCATAATCACGAAAACTCAAGGAGAACTCTTGGTCTTCAATACTTTCGCGAGAATCTATTGTTTTAATGCATTAGAGATTTTAGCTACCTTAAGCAAAGCTTGTACTCTTTTCTTCGTGGTGAAACACTCTTTGTCGCCATCCTTCCAGTTAAGAACCTTCAGAAACGATGGTCTTGAAGAATGTGTTTCA